CATCCCAACTACAACATCCTATACGACCAAGCAATCAACCAAACCTTCCTGGACAGACCTACCATAACACGACCTTCAGGTGTAAGGATTCAAGAAATTTTGAATAGCATCGACCTCGAACTTCCTGACGTTTATAATCTAAAACATAGCTCAACGCCACCATGGACAATAAACAAACCTGTATTGGACTTGCAGTGTGCACGGTACAAGAAGGATGAAACCAATAGCTCCTTATTTCTTGCATTGTTTAATGACACTGTAAATAGTTACACAAACGTTAAAAATTATATATACTGATGGATCAAAGTTAGCTGATAGCGTTGGATGTGCCTATACATCAACGGGACACGAGCAAAAATTTAAACTACATCCCATGACCTCGGTTTTCAGAGCCGAGCAACTTGCATTGCTTAAAGCACTGGAATATATAAATAACCACAATGAAGCAGGTACTTACCTAATCTGCAGCGATTCCTTTAGTGCCATTCAATCTATATCTGCCACAAATTCCTTTGACCCATTGGTTCAAGAAATACTTCATTGGCTTGTCTTACTGGAATCAGATCGGAAATATGTTATCTTTATATGGTCTCCAGGTCATGTAGGGATTCCAGGTAATGAAAGGGCTAACGAATTGGCCCGTGAAGCAGCAACCGATACTGTCAACGCCAACAACCTGGTCCACCCGGAAGACCTGAAAAATTTTCTGAAGAATAAGTTGATGTCTGTATGGCAAGAGAGATGGAATGGATGCGAAACTACCCTCAAAAGATACAAACCTACAGTTAAAAAATGGCACCTCCCATCACTACCACGAAGAGAAGAGGTGACGCTTACACGATTACGCATAGGCCATTGCAACATAACACACATGCATCTCATTCGCGGCCTGGATCCACCGCAATGCGAAAACTGCCAAACTCAGCTAACAATTGACCACATATTCTTGGAATGCCCAACATATTCTAGAGTCCGCCAATCGTTTGACATTATTAACAGCCTACAACGTGGGCTCTGTGGCAATGACGCCGGTAGCATGATAAACATCCTTAACTTCTTAAGAGAAATACAAGTTTTCCTGAAAATATAAACATGTAAGATGATACACTTATTAAACCCTGAATAAGATATTCCATAAAATAGCTTATACAAATAAACCAATAACTAAAACCATGTGACATATAATGCATAATAAACGTACATGCCAGTTACCTACTATTCTCTACTCGATGAGTACTTAACATATAATTCAGTATCCAAGACACACACTGTGTGATACTTGAAAAGTGAGAAAAGAACCCACCTATTAAATATATTGAGACTTTAAATATATATTGATGATTGATATTACCTGTGATAAAATGCACTCAGATCTACCCCTGGGTGACAATGACATGTCCTATATGTGGAGGAGGGATACGGCAAATGACATCATCAGTCGAAGCCGTGGGAAAAAAAAAAAAAAAAAAAATAATAAATAATAATATATAATAATAATAATAATAATAATTAATAATAATAATAATAAATAAAATAATAATAATAATAATAATAATTTTCATTTCTGTAGGCTTAGACGACCACACTATGATCCACGCCTCTGTCTCAACAATGAACGCATACCCTGTGTGTCTTCTGTAAAATTCTTAGGCCTAACACTCGACAGTAAACTGACATGGAGAGAACACATTGAGGATCTTACCAACAGGTGCAAGAGAGCCCTAAACCTAATAAAATGCCTGTCGTCAACACGATTCGGAGCAGAAGCTGAGATGCTGTTGCGGATATACAAGAGCATCATTCTATCTAAGCTTGACTACGGTAGCATTGTTTACTCATCTGCAAGACCGTCACTGCTTAAAAAACTTGATACAGTTCACAACCAAGCATTACGTCTCTGCCTTGGAGCATTTCGTACAACTCCAGCAGCTAGCCTCTATTGCGAATCCGGAGTTGAACCTCTATCCATTAGACGTAAAGAACTTGCACTATCGTATTCTGCACAGATTCAAACACGACCATTCCATAGAAACTTTTCTATCATTTTCAGTACGGATGAGAGCTACATCTGTCGCCCCACAATAACAAGATCTCTCAGAGTCCGAGTTAAAGAATATGCCGAGGAAATTGGTATATCATGTAACCCTATCTATAATGTTAAACACAGAGAATCTCCTCCATGGCTGTCACCCAAAATAAATGTGAATCTCGAGCTGACTGCACTATCTAAGAATGACCATCCATCTGAACTCATAAAATCACGTTTTATGGAAATCGTTTCTAGATATCCGGCAGCAGCAACAGTTATCTATACAGATGGATCGCGAACTGACAGTGGTGTCGGCTGTGCTATAGTAGTCGATCAAACTGCACATCAATGGACACTATCACCAATAGCATCCATATTTACTGCTGAACAATATGCTATTTGGCAGGCCCTACGATACTGTGACATGTCGAATAACATAACAACAGCTATTATAGCTAGTGACTCGCTCTCAGCACTTCAAGGCCTAATGAACTATGCATCTCGAGATTCCTTAACTGTGATGTGTCTTGAAACTGTCAAACATCTCTTAAATAAAGGGGTAAACGTAAAATTTCTGTGGTTGCCAGGACACGTTGGTATACAGGGGAATGAAGCTGCTGATATGGCAGCGAAAGCAGCAGCGCAACAAAACATCGACATCCCTGAAATAAAAATGTCTGATCATAAAAAGTACCTCATAAACCGTATACAGCGACACTGGCAAATTACATGGGGTAAGACTGATACCCACTTAAGACAGATAAAACCTAGTGTAGGATTATGGCCACATCCTATCAGACTGCCACGAGAGGAATGGGTGCGCATACATCGCTTACGCTTTGGCCACACACGTCTTACACATGCACATCTTTTGCTCGGAACAGATCCGCCCTTGTGCACTGGATGTAACTCTTCACTCACTGTACGCCACATTATCTGCACATGTCCGATATTGTCGCAATATCGAGTGATCTATGGACCATTTGATAACCTGACAGAGAGTCTCACACAACCAGAAAAACTGAAAAACGTCATATCATTCTTAAAAGTATCTGGTTTCTATTGGAAGATCTGACCTAATGAACTTTTTGGAAATGAACCATTTTAATTTTTGTGTATCTTATTCTCAACTGAGATTAAATGAATGTTATGTAACGATGATTTTGCATCATACCTACCTTAGCTTAGTATTGTCATCTTGAACTAAAAGAAACATGCAACAATAGAATTTGGATAAATCCATACTTACGTGAACGCAAACAAGATCGTGAAATGCAGATAATGACCACAAAAAAAAAAAAATTAATATTAATGAATATATGCCTGACAAATTTAGTCGTGTAACATTTTCCAGAAATTATCTTTTGTCGCTAATAGAATCTGAAAGTAAATGACAATAGTATATCCTTTTCGATTAATATCTGGAATTTGCGTAGTTAGTTTTTTAAAAATGCGACACTTACCACTTAGACATGTAAGAGATTATATATTTTATACTTTAGATTTATATTATATTATATATTATTGAGTACGGCTAATAACCAGAGAAGTTGACGCCGTCAAAAAAAAAAAAAAAAAAAAAAAAAACAAAAAATAATAATAATAATAATAATAATAATAATAATAATAATATAATAATAATAATAATATAATAATATATATAATAAATAATAATATTAATAATAATAATAAATAATAATAATAATAATAATAATATAATAACCCCCGCAGGGGTATCTACTTTTGAAGCTGGATCTTTGATCCGGTTTCAAGGGAAGATACATGGGGAGCGTCGCCCCCACGGCCCCAGGCAGGGAGTTCGGGGTTTGGTAGTCTTATTCATTCTGCCAAACCCTGGGCTTTTCCTTCCCCCTTTCTCCCATCCTTCTCCTCTTTTTATTATCCTGTGCAGCTGTCCGCTGCCCTCCCTTTCCTTGTCCTTTCCTTACTCCATGCGTTGAGGCGGCGCGTGGGGCTTCCTCTTAGCTTCCCGGGTGTTTGTGCCGTGCCCGGCGACCCGTAAGCTGGCAATGGAATCGGGTGGTTGAGCCTACCAGTCAGGGGGCAACACGCCACTTTGGTCCGGCGGTCAGTCTAGAAGGGCGGCCGCGCCTAGCCCAGCGTCGGTCAATCGGCTGTGCCATCCCGTCAGAGGGCTGGTTGGGCGAGCCTCCACAGGTAGTAGAAGCCAGACGGGAATAGTTCGCTATGCTCGATGTATGGTGGAGCTACCTGTGGGGACTATACCTCCTTTTCCTAGCATTAACGGTATCCCTGGGGTTATGTCCTAGCGGAAGGCGATTATGGGCATAACCTCCCAATGAGGCTCCGTGGAGGGTGGGGAGCCGGGGAGGCGAATACTTATTTTGAGCATATGGGAACTACACAAAATTCAACAGGTGTGCTCACCTCCTTAAATGTGGGCGCTACAGGAGTGGCAACAGGCAGACCAACCGCCAAATGCGACGACCCCTTCAGCCATGAAAAGGCGGAAATTGTTCCCCGGTTCTTGGTGTTGGGAAGAGGAGATGGGGGAAATTTTGATAAAATGAACCCCTTTCTTATAAACAAAACATTATTTGGATTAGTAGGAGAGTTAAAGAGTATCAGAAAGACAAAGCAGGGCCTTGTAGTCGAAACATCATCCCCAGCACAAGGAAGAAAATTGTTACGTCTTGAAAAATTTGGTGAATTCGATGTAAAAGTCTCACCTCACAGAACATTAAATTTTTCAAAAGGAGTCGTTAGTTGCCCTGATTTATTGAATGTACCAGTTGAGGAAATTCTAGATGAACTTCGATCTGAAGGAGTTGTTGAAGTTTCAAGGATAGTTCAAAAAAGAAATGGCTTATTGGTTGAAACACCTCATCATATTCTAACGTTTAACAGACCCGTTACCTAAGTCAGTAAAAGCTGCATTTTACTGTCTACCAGTACGCCCCTTTATTCCAAGCCCCGTAAGGTGCTTCAGATGTCACAAATTTGGACATATGTCCTCAACATGCAAGTATGAACAAGTGTGCCTATGTGGTAAAGATTTACATCAACCTAGTGAATGCATCGAACCATTTAAGTGTGTTAACTGTGGGAATGACCACTTGTCTAATTCAAAGAACTGTCCGAAAATGAAGGAAGAAGTCAGCATACAGAATATTAGAACAACAGACAAAATTTCCTATATTGAAGCTAAAAGAAAGTATTACGCCGCAATGCCTGCTAATACAACGTATGCCCAAGTAACAGCCTCTGGGTCAGACAATACTACGGCTAAGAAATTCATTCAGGAGCTCATCCCAGATATTGCTCAGATTATAGACCAACAGGTCAAAAAAGCAATAGATGAGGTAATTAAGACCAGTTTATCAATATACCTGCCGTCTACCTCATCAGAAAGAAGGCCTATGCGACGGGATCAGTATGACCTCGATGCAGCCTCAATTGTCTCTGATACTCCATCACAACTTTCAGATAAAAGAAAAAGGACACAATATATTCGGACTGAAGAGCTAGTCTGCCTTACCGATACTTCTGAATCACAACTAGATGAGCTGAGTCAAACTAAAAGGAAAAAGGGTTGGCCAAAGGGTAAGCGCCGTAAGCCACCCAAACCTGGAGAAAGCTCAACTGCGAATTCTCAGATAGAATCATCATTAGAGCAAATATCAGATCCAACATAAGCTGTGTTATAACGTTCTAAAGTATTTGTATATATGTGTATATATATATATATATGTATATATTCATTTTTTGTTGTTATTATCTGTTTATACATTGTATTTGAAAATTATTATTCGTCCTTAGATAAATACGCATTTTATTTATATTCACACAACCGTCTTATACAGTCAGGAGCTGATACAAGACACACTACAATATATACTTTTAAACAAAAACCCCTAAATGGACTCTATAATCCAGTGGAATATAAATGGATCTAAGACACATTACCCCGAATTGAAAACGATAATGGTTGATAAAGCTCCTTTCTGTTTGTGCCTACAAGAGACCCACCTCCGTGATACAGATGTGTTCAACCTGCATAACTACAACTATATACGAAAGGATGCCGCCTCACAATCTCGGGCTAAGGGAGGTGTGGCAATATTTATAAAGGATAACGTACCTTTTAGTGAAGTAACCTTACAAACAGCCTTGCAGTCAGTTGCTGTACAAGTGCATTTGCCCTTTAAGTTCACGATATGTAACATCTACTTACCCGACTTTAGTTGGGATAGGAACCAAATAAGAAGTTTATTATCCCAACTACCCTCTCCGTTTCTTCTTGTGGGCGACTTCAATTCCCATAATCATCTATGGGGTTCCAATAAAATTGATCTCCGAGGCAGAATAATCGAGGAACTTGTTGAAGAACATAACCTAGTCATACTGAATACTGGAGAAGGCACATATCTAAATACCCGTTCTTGCAATTTAAGCGCCATTGATTTGACCATCTGTTCCCCACAAATAGCACACCTTTTCCAATGGCAGGTATTGGAGGATAACTTCTCTGATCACTTACCTATTTTAATTAGAACCTTTGTGAAGTGTCATCCTCCCGTTCGACACAGTAAATGGAACATTAAAAAAGCAGATTGGTCTTTGTACCAACACATCCCTTTCAATATGAACGGCACTGTACATGAATCAGTAATAGAGATCACAAATGGCATCATTGAGGCAGCGGAGGGTAGTATCCCCAAAACAGCCAGTGCAGTCCGTGGTCCCAATAGGGTACCTTGGTGGAACCGCGAACTTGATCATGCAATACAGAAGAAAAAACAAGCTTTTACCCAATTCAAAAGATGCCCAACACTATCTAATCTTATCAAGTTTAAAAAATGTAGAGCGAAAGCCCGTCAACTGATTCTGATGAGTAAGAACTCGTCCTGGAGGGAATTTGTATCTACTATATCTAGAACTACTCCCGATTCTGAGATTTGGAAGAAGATTGGATTATTATCGGGAAAACGCTTCCCTATTCCATCACCTGTCCTGTTGATCAATGATAAAGAAATAACAGACAATCAAGAGATTGTTAATGTCTTGGCACTTGAATTCCAGAATAACTCAAATTCTTCCAACTATTCACCTAAATTTTTAACCAAGAAAGTTGAAGAGGAAACCACACACCTTGATTTTACTGAAGACAGGGTATCTGCATATAACTTGCCTTTCACGTTGGAAGAAATGGAAAGTGCACTAAGTGAGGTCCACAACTCTGCTCCAGGGCCAGATTCTATACACTATGAAATGATTAGACACTTACCTGCAACAGGAAAGATGAATTTGCTAACTCTTTATAACAAAATTTGGGCAGAGGGTATATACCCCCAACAATGGCACGAGGCTGTGATCATTCCTGTATTAAAACCTAATAAAGATCCAAAGAACCCTGGCAGCTATCGCCCTATATCTTTAACATGTTGCCCAAGCAAAATATTTGAAAAAATGGCAAATAGGAGATTAGTATGGTTCCTTGAAGCACGGAATTTACTTTCAAATCAACAATGGGCTTTCGGCGTCACCGATCCACTATTGACCAGTTAATCTACTTTGAATCAGCTATTCAGACAAGTTTTGCTAACCGAAATCACATGGTGGCAGTCTCTTTCGATTTAGAAAGGGCATATGATCGAACATGGAGGCACGGAATTCTGAAGACCCTATACTCTTGGGGACTCAGAGGCAACCTATTAACTCTCATATCAAATTTCATGGAGGACCGTTTGTTCAAAGTTCGCATAGGAAATGAGCTCTCACATGCCTATACACAGGAAAACGGCATCCCTCAAGGATCGACGCTAAGTGTGACACTCTTTATAATAGCTGTGAATCCCCTTGTTGAGTCGATTGAACCTCATATAGGCAAATGTCTATATGTGGACGACCTCACTATATTCTTCTCTGCAAAGGACCTAATAGAAATCGAGGAAACTCTACAAGCAGCAATAAATCATCTTACGACTACCGCTGAGAGTCTCGGTTTTCAATTCTCCCCCGTAAAAACGGCCTGTATAGACTTTTGTAGGCTGAGAACTCCACACACTAATCCTCGACTGTCACTAAATGGACATCTGATACAGTGTAAAGATACTCTTGATCTTCTGGGGCTAACGTTCGACCAAAAACTTCACTGGGGTCCTCAGATTGAAAAAATCCTTGTTAGGTGCAAGAAGTCCATGAACATTATCAAATGTATCTCTAACATCCAGTGGGGAGCCAGTCGGGAAGTCCTTCTGAATTTATATCAATCTTTGGTCCTTTCGAAAATTGAGTATGGTCTAATTGTGTTTGCATCAGCACGTAAGTCTCATATTGCGAAACTGGAAATACTTCATAGAGATGGTCTAAGACGATGTATTGGTGCCTTTAGGACAAGCCCTTCAGATTCAATATACTGTGAAGCTGGAATGCCACCTCTGAAATACAGAATACAGCAACTTAGCCTCAACTATGCAATAAAAATTGCAGCACAGCCTCTGCATCTCAATAACTCTATCATTTTTAATGAGGAAACGGAAGAACTCTTCCATGACAGACCAACCGCCACCCGCCCCTTTGGAATCCGGGTCAATGAAATACTAGCGGCCCTAGGTATCGATCTGCCAGATGTGGATAACTTGATGTTACCTGATCTACCACCATGGACATTAACAACACCTTTGACCGATACCGAAATGACTCGATACAAAAAAGGGACAATTTGTAATGAGGCTATAAATCGAGCTTTTTTGAACATTATTGCAAAATACCAACCATGCAAGATTATTTATACTGATGGATCGAAGACTGCTGAGGGAGTTGGTTGTGCCATAGCCTTTGAAGGATTTTGTCGTGGATGGAGTTTAAACTCGTCATGTTCTATATACTTCGCCGAACTTTTCGCCATCTTTCAGGCTCTTAACTATATAAAAGGTTTAGCAGGAGGTAAGTACCTTATCTGCAGCGACTCTCTCAATGCCATATTGGCTATCAAACACAAGTACTCAACAGATCCTCTCCTCATAAAGACGTTGAGTCTCCACCATAAGTTGTATCAAGAAAATAAACACGTTACTTTCATCTGGAGCCCAGGGCACTCTGGAATTCATGGAAATGAACTGGCTGATCAAACAGCACGCCAAGCAATTTTATTGGACGTAACAGGTGTACCACTTCGGCTAGAAGATGCTAAAGAAGCTATGAAGGAAAATGTCCTCCACTCATGGCAGGAAGAATGGAACCTCTCGAATAAATTTTTGAAAACGTTCAAGCCAAGCATAAAAAAATGGAGCCTTCCACATATGACACGTAGAGAACAAGTAGTAGTTACGAGAATGAGAATAGGGCACACATTTCTTACTCACTCCCATATGCTATTAGGTAATCCACCACCAAGATGTGAAACATGTAATAAATTGCTCTCATGGAAGCATATACTGTTTAAGTGTCCTTTATACCTAGCTGCTAGAACAGCACATAACCTAGCTCTGGACTTAGAAAGTTGCTTTCTCACTACTGCCAACATAGGTTCTACACTTGATTTTCTTAAATCTACCAAACTTTTTAGAAAAATATAGTGCAATTACGTAGGATCCTACTAAATACATATACGTAAACTGATGATCTATGATTGATTAAGAAGTACTAACGTCGGATATGTAATTAAATGCTTGTGTATCCACGATCATGTATACTTATTTTATTAGTGTCCTTGTCTGGACTAAGTTAATTATATGTCTGTGTATAAGATATAATATGTGTGTGCGTATACATGTGTAGATATTTTTTTTTTGTTCTTGTCTTTTTTTTTTTTTGTATTGAAATCTGAGCTACTTACATGACATCTGAGTCACCCAGATCTACCCCTGTGGTGAAAGTGGCAATTGACCGTATGGGCAGGAGGGAAGCGGCTATGGCATAGTAGCCGATGCCGCTGTGGGCAAAAAAAAAAAAAAAAAAATAGTAAGCAATAATAATAATCATAATAAAAATAATAATATTATAAGAATAATAAATAATATAATAAAATAATATTAATAATATAATAATAATAATAATAATAATACTATAAGATAAAATTATAATAATAGTAATAATAATAATAATATAATAAAATATCAATAATAATAATATAATAATAATAATATTATATTATAATATATAATAAAATAATAATAATAATATTATAATAATAATAATAATTAATAATAATAATAATAAATATATAATATAATATCAATAATAATAATTAATATATAATAATAATAATATAATAATAATAATATAAAAAATATAATATATATATATATAATATAATAATCCCCGCAGGGGGTATCTACTTTTGAAGCTGGATCTTTGATCCGGTTTCAAGGGAAGATACATGGGGAGCGTCGCCCCCACGGCCCCAGGCAGGGAGTTCGGGGTTTGGTAGTCTTATTCTCTGCCAAACCCTGGGCTTTTCCTTCCCCCTTTCTCCCATCCTTCTCCTTTTATTATATCCTGTGCAGCTGTCCGCTGCCCTCACGACTTTCCTTGTCCTTTCCTTACTCCATGCGTTGAGGCGGCGCGTGGGGCTTCCTCTTAGCCTCCCGGGTGTTTGTGCCGTGCCCGGCGACCCGTAAGCTGGCCAATGGAATCCTGGTGGTTGAGCCCTACCAGTCAGGGGGGCAACACGCCACTTTGGTCCGGCGGTCAGTCTAGAAGGGCGGCCGCGCCTAGCCCAGCGTCGGTCAATCGGCTGTGCCATCCCGTCAGAGGGCTGGCTGGGCGAGCCTTCGCATTGCGAAGAAAGCAGACAGGTGTGGATTATTTCTACCCTTGGCCATGCCGGACCGCAATGCGAAGACTATACTTTCCTTCAGCAGCCCTGGTGTCCATGTCCCGAACTATGTTTGCAGGCATGGCATCCCCAATGAGGACTCCGTGGCGGGTGGGGAGCTGGGAAGGTGAAGCATTTTGAAATTCGCATGGATGAAATACAAACCAAAAACCCACCCAGAAATGGGAAAGCTACCGCGCAAGCGGCCACGGCCAGCCAGAGAAAGGAGGGAACCATCCCCCGGTTTCTGGTGGTCGAACGGATTGATGGGGGTAACTTTGATAAAGTAAGCCCCTTTGTTGTGTCAAGAACATTATTTGGAATTGCTGGGAACCTGAAATTAATAAAGAAAATCAAATCTGGGCTACTGTTGGAAACCAGTACCGCAACCCAGGCAAACAGACTTTTGCAAACACAAAGAGTTGGAGATTATAATGTTGTAGTTAAAGCGCATTCCACGCTTAATTACTCCAAAGGAATTATTACTTGTGCTGATCTTTTGAACTCCACTTTGGAGGAAATATTGGACGGCCTGAAAACAGAAGGAGTTATTGACGTAAAACGTATGATGCGTAGAAGAGGTGAGGAACTTATAGAAACACCAAATCTCATTCTCACTTTTGATAGACCCAATCTACCTAATAAAATTAAAGCTGCCTTCTACCACCTTGATGTTCGCCCTTACTACCCAAGCCCTTTGCGGTGTTTCAAATGCCAGAAATTTGGTCATACATCCCAGAAATGTCCTAATACCGAAATGTGTACTTGTGGTCAACCCAATCACCCAGGAGAGCCGTGCAATGAACATAAGAAATGTATCAACTGTGAAGGACAGCATGCTGCTGATTCTAGAGAATGTCCGCGGATGAAGGAAGAAGTTGCCATCCAAAGAGTGAGGACGCTAGAAAAAATTAGTTATCTGGAGGCAAAAAGGAAAGTAATTAGCTCATCTCCCCGGGTGTCATACGCTCAAGTTACCGCTACCCCAAGTGCTACAGTTAATAAACTTGTTGAAGAACTTCTTCCTCTGCTTTCAAAAACGATAGAAACACAGATTAAACAAACCTTTGATAAATTTGTAAATAGACCAGTACGGACATTGACACCTTTAAATCTACCTCCTCCTAACCAATACCTATCGGATACGTCTACTCAACCATCTCTTTCAGAAAAGAGGAAACGTACTGTTATCCAAAAGGATAATGCGGATGATCCCGCAGACGATACTGACGAAAGCTTTCGTCACAAGCCAGCGGAACATCCTCACTTGCTAAGAAAAAAAAGGGATGGCCGAAGGGAAAACCCAGAAAGCCTCCAGATGATAAGACGATTAGTTCCGATGTAATTGATCTCAACTAGCATTACGTAACGATGACTTCTGTGATATTACTTTGCAAAATGCATTTTTTCCATATTTTTTATACATAGTTATATTTATATCTTTTTATACTCATATATATATACACCTTTTACTTATAGTTACACTTATTTTTCACACAATGTGTATAGTGCAATGGAATATTAATGGATATAAAACGCACCACCCAGAATTGAAATCACTTCTGTTAAATGAGGCACCAATTTGTGCATGCCTTCAAGAAACGCATCTAGCAGATTCAGACAGCATAAACCTACGTGGATATACATGTTACAGGAAAAATGGCATTAGGAATATTCGTGCCAAAGGCGGCGTCGCGACCCTTATAAAAGAAGATATCCCATCTAATGAAATCATGGTTGACTCACAATTGCAAGCAATCGTAGTACAAATCTTCCAGCCAGTTAAACTAACTATATGCAACATCTATCTCCCAGACTTCAGCTGGGAATCAAGACAAATGCGGCAACTTTTTCAGTTGCCTACACCTTGTGTCATACTGGGCGACTTCAACGCCCATAACCCATTATGGGGATCAGAGAAACTTGATATGCGAGGCCGCCTTATAGAAGATATCATCAACGAATATAACCTGGTGGTTTTGAACTCAGGATCAGGTACCTTCCTAAAATCCGCTCTCTTAAACTTAGCGCTATAGATCTAACAGTTTGCAGTCCTGAAATTGCACA